CCAAGTGTCGTTCAGTGTGTAGATTTTCGGGGTTCACCTCTGTTAGTTCATCGGGACTCCACACGAGAGAGCTGTCACGGCCAGTTCACATTGCTAACCAGGCTCCTGATCACTGCAGTGGATTACCAGTGTCCAGCTGTTCAGTAATACTGGGTTGCTATTCTGCTACTCTCTGCTATTTAAGCTGTATTACAACAGCAGTAATAGACGTATCCATAGCTGCAGCAATATTAACAAAATAATAGTAATGCTCTGTATGTTTCACAAGTAAGAGTGCACAAGTGACAGTGAAGTACTGTATCTTTCAGCCCCTTGCTGTTGGTCCTTTGCTGGACACACAAGGTCAGGAGTAGAAGGTAATGAACTTGAGATATTTACATAAAAAGGTGACAGCTCTCTTCTGGGAATCATTAAGGCCTAAGGCAGTAGTGACACCATTAATTTACTTCTCATCTGTCAAGGGCAGGTTGAGTGTTTACTGAGTGCAGATTGTTGCCAGAATTTCTTATGTTTTAAAACATTAATTAATTGAGTAGGTGTTTTATTTATGGGTAGTTGTATGCCACACAGGAACAGATTTCACCTAAGGCAGAGTGTCTGTTAATGCCCTCTTTGTTGGGAAACCTGAAGTAAACATGGACTACAGATGTGTAGCACTAATAAAATATTAATTCTTCTTTAAGTAGGATGTAGAATTCTGTTTTAAATTAGATGTATCTTTATAATTACAGCCCTAGAAGGTTGTTTTTAGACGTATGAACCTTGGAGGTGAGGTACAGAAAGTGTGGGATGTAAACACCACGAATAATTCCCTATTGCTCCTGATGTGTTTACTAGGTTACATGTATTGAGATGTGAGTCGTAAAAAGTCAACTGTATGTTGGAGAACAGGAGTCATTAAGCTCTATTAATTACAGACAATAGATGAATACCTGTGGCTTTACTAATGCAAGATTAAGAGTAGTTATTACTGTTATAAAAAATAATTAATGGTGTTTTATTTGTCTTTATGGCTGTTGAAAGACTGAAGGAATCTTGCCACACTGCAATATAATCAAGTCATAACTTGATTACGAGCAGGATTATTTTATTTTTCAGTGAGAATGAGATGATGATCAAGTTGAGATAATTATCAAGTAGGCTCTTTATTCAATTAAGCAGAAAATGAGTGTAATTCCACAAAATAAACTAGCAGCAGGTAGCAGAGTCCGGAGTCCAGCTGGTCGTGGTGTACAGTGACTCCCTGCAGGGGGCTCAAGATGGGTTTTAACATTCCAGATACGTCCCAGATGCTTCAGTGACGCTGGAGAGGTTTAACAGCTGAGATCTAGCAATTACTGCGTTCATAACATTCTTTTAATGATGGGGTATAACTTTTTATGGTATTTACATGTGGTTTTTCTTGATTGCAGTTTACTGTACTGCGACTTCACACAATGTGAAATATTTACAAAGACCAGGGCTGGACTACTTACACCGAAATTAAACTGAAGACTTAAACTGCAATCACATCTGAGCCGCTACAGAACCTGTGCAGCAAAGTCTCGTTTACAGCTACAGAACAGCCTGATTTTTTTTGTTCTACTTTGGAATCACCCTTCAGCAGCTGGTGCTGCATTTACAAATGTTGCAGCGTAAAGGCTGGCCGAGTATCTATTTTTTTCTCCCAACATGTACGGTTTCTTCAACAAAAGGAAATCGGATGGAGGACAGCAGAGGACGAAAAGGAAATAGAAGATCAGAAAAATTAATCTTAGTTCAGAAACTGGCACGACTGCACATGCCCAGGAGGTTGCTAAAGAGTATGGTCTTGCCTCCACGTCAGTCAGCTTGTTGTGCAACTGCTAGCAATCGGTGGCAAAAATATCCACACACAAGCCGTTCAGTTATTTGACCGTACAAAGCATAGAGGGAAGTTGCAGTCATGTAATTGCAACTGTTTGAAAAGATCAAATATTGTACCGTGTACATACTGCTGTGGATTTGAGGGATCAATAGGTTTACAATTTAACATTCCATCAACCTGTCCAGGGTTTATCCGGCCTTGCACTCGTTTCTTGCTGGGACAGATTCCAGCTCCCCCACGACCCTGAAGCAGAAGAAACGGTTTGAAAACGGATGGATAAGGTTTCAAGTATTGTTCGGGGTCCTGCGTTGTATATTTGCTTTAACCAGGTCTTTTCGTTTCATGCTGTTGGATCTCAAATGGCACAGTAATAGAGAGTGTATTGCCATATGTATATGTAAATTGGAATTCTTCTGTGCGCTGATCTCTCAGGACTTACACAGTGCAGCAGGCAACACAATACAATACAACACAGTATTCCAAACATAATAAATGATAACAATAAATATGTTGTGGGGAACAATAAATATGTAGTAGTGAGAAAAAAAACCCACAGCAAATGCATAAAAAGCTTAGTACAGATGTGCATTGAGTCTGAGGCATTGCAGGCAGCTGTTGAGCTACAGTAGGGAGGCTCAGGCAGTGTGTGTAGATTAAAACGGATCTTTCACTGCAGGTGCGGATCATTGAACTCCCCAGTAAGATGCCAGTCTGCAGCTTAAAGCCAGAAGCCAAACTGGGCATGCCGATGTGTCTGAAGCTGTGGCAGGTAAGGCACAGCTCTGCCCAAGGAAAACACTGTTTCAGGTATAATAGCCCTGTCAGTCAGCAAATATGAATCCAGGGATGATTCACAAATTGTGTGATTTATGTGTAAACTTTCTTTTCTACCTTTTTATGTGGCATTTTTCTATTGTTAATCACAGCACTGTAATTATGGAGCGAGTTTCACGGTTATATATCAGTTAACAGCTGGTGTCTAAATCCGAGAGGTGGGTACTGTTTTGTAAACACTTCCAAAACATTTCCACCAAAAGGGGGGTAATTATTATTATTATTGTGTGAATATATTATTTTATTCCTTTACAAGAAGCAGATAAATCAGGGCTTGACTGGCAGAAACTGTAGATTTATCACCAAAACACAATCTGGCAGCAATAATGTGTACAGTATCTGCATTTCTGAATTTGGTCATTCTTGGTTTTATTGCAGAGAGTATCTATTACAAGTATATTTCAGAAGTATAACAACACTGACACTTTAAAAATCCAAAACTGTTATTTATTTGCCATTCTTCAGAACATTTGTGCCAAAGGTAAATGGTAAAATAATAGAATCTCAGGGTGGTGACGGTATCTTTTTGATAAGATCTTACAGTCTTGTCATAAAACTTTAATAATTTGGCCTCATAGAATCAGTCCTTCTTAGGGCTCTTCCAAAGTGTGAGACAAGAAAAAGCAGCCTTTTGTCCTACAGAACCCCTTTCAGAAGTGAAAGTTTGAAAACATTGTGTGTTTTAAAAGGAAGTCCAGTAAAATAATATGAATTATCCCACTATACAATTCTAAGTTTCAGCCTTCCTATCCAAAGAGTTTAATTTCTTTTGTTCCAGAAAAACAGATTCAGATCAGCATATTCTTTCATTTTTTACCTGTCATGGTGCTTACTGCTGCAAAGTGCAGTGATTATATATTTAAGGGTTAATCTGAAACAGCATGCAATGGGCCTAAACTGAAGTCCAGGTTGTCTTATTATAGCATTTATATGATTGTCTGTCTATACCTCAGGCAATAAGTACCTATTACCTTCTGACACTGTGGTCCTTTCTTCTAAGCCTAGAATAAAAGAGAGACTGTGTTTTATTCTCCTATTGTCTTCAGTCTTTGAACAAGACTTCTCTGTCATTATTCTGGCAGTATCTTTCAGATTTATTAGCTGCATTAAAGAAGTAGCCACTAGTCTTTGAAGGAAATTAAATGCCATATTAAATAACAATTTTCTTTAAGCTTCCCCCCCCCAAAAAAAACCACCCCAGCTTTTTTTGGAAATGCCATGTTTTTTATAAATTTAAATCTAAAGCAGTCTCTTGATGGGAAATGAGTTTCAATTCATTTCTGCTTCCTCTTTATCTGCTAATATGACCAGACGGTGGGCCAGAGCATTTGGGAAACTGCATCCATATGTTTTCTAGAGACTAAGGCTGTGAGAGTGCATGATGTATGATGTGTGAGGCTTTTAACATGAGCACAGGCTGCTGGCTGGGAGGAAACGTTTCTATACAGATATCAATCACTCTCAGCTCATCACCACGCAATGACATCATCACGCCAATGTTCATGCTTCTGATTTGTTCCTTATGTGCGATCCACCTTTTATTAAACTTTTAAACGAAATAAATAACTCCCACACATTCTTAGTGGATCCCCTTGAAACCAGTGCAAATTTCATTAAAAAAAAAACAGTCTTTACCCTCCATTTGTAATGTAGACATTAGCACTCAACGTCTTGAGTGCAGTAAAGCTTACCAGTGTGTTGCTGAGACCAGATTCCACTCATTTTGAACCAGCTGTGAAATAGTAGCCCTTCAGGTCAGGTTTAATGCAGAAGACCTTGATATAATTTAAAGGACAGTCATGCTGCAGGATCATCGAAAGGACATGCAAACTGATGATGTACAAAGACACCCATTATTGGTATTTTAAATAGTAAAAACCGCAGGGTCGTTCCCTGCAATCTGAACCTCACCTGTTGCCTAGAGAGCCAAATGAATAGGGAGCTTAGTCTGCAGAGTCATCAGGCAGAGTTCCAGTGTGTTTGTGAGACTGGCGGAAGAGACTCAAGATTATTGTCTTGCAGTAGCGCGACCTCATCTCGAGCTCTGGCCTGATTCCAGTGCTTCGATCTTGCCAGTGGTGTGCAAGATGAGTCTTTTCCTCAAGTGTGAGATGTAATCCAGTCAAGCACCTCCTTGTAGAGGACCAACGGAGGATATAATGAATTAGGTGTCTGCCTGGGGTTCCGTAACCTTTGTCCTATGACATCGTCAATCAAGAGGCTCCTACACTTAGCTACAGCTAGCAGGCCACAGAGAAACAGACGGTAATGTTTAATAGCTAGCTGGGAGGCAGAGAACTGATTTGCAGTTGTTTTATTTGTTTTTTATTCTCTAAAAATGGTAAGTGATGTATAAGGAGTACTGGATTCTGTCTGTCTATAATTTATTCTAATGCTGGGGGGGGGGACTTCAGACCATTAAGGGGAAAGAGGATGTAGATTTTACAAAATTAGCGTAAATGAAGCAAAAGTTTGTTTCAGAGCCCTTACACATATGGAAAGAATTTTTCCGTTGTAGTTTTGTGTGATTTGGATGTTACAGCAATTGAGAGAGGACAGTGTGAAAAAATTATGGAATTTCTTAAGAAGTCAAATTTTACAGAAGAATTAGAAGAAAATAGATCAGACCTTGTAGCCCTGCATGTTGCGGGCAGGTTAGTGATGATATCATTAAAGTAAAAGTACGATCCGGATTTGCTGCAGGACCGGACTCTCAAAAAACTGTTCAGCCTGAAACTGTTTTGCATTCATATTAGGTGTAACACTTTAAAACAACAGTTTCAGCAGATCTGAACACCACCCCTGTCACATTTCATCCGAGATAAATGGCTTCCCGGAGGGTCAGGCCATGTGAATGCTTACAGCAACATACACCTCTTTGACTGTAAATTTTAACAACCAGCCATCCCCTATAGCACTGCAATAAAATACGCACTCTTCATCTGCCAGCAACCTGGTTAGTTTATATTTATCCCATAATATGATTTATAGGCAGGCCATCCCTAGAAATTTCACGTCTTCCTCGATTTGTGAAAAAATAATGAATGTTAGGAATTTCAATTAAGTTGCATTCAGTTAAAGGGATGCACTGAATTGCATTTTTTTAAACTGGTTGCAAAACGTCCCGCAAAATAAAACCTGCAGATTGGACCTAAAAGGGAACAAACACAAAGATGCAGAGTACAACTCACTATCCTGACAAACCGATTTGCACACCTTTTAAAAAGATAGCTGTAACAAAGGCGACAGATCAAAGCTGCACCTGATAGAATACTGTCAGCTATACAGAGAACGATTTCATGGTTTTCTTTTTTTCCCAGTCTGGTGAAAACATCCAATAAAACAGTGAAGGTTTATTGAAAAAAAATCTCGAGAGCAAACGTGTCGTTTTATGAGTTTCTCATTTACATGAGAAGCCAGTGGAAATGCATGCCTCCGTTTGATTGTTACAGATGAGGAGAAAAGTGACAGACGCTGTAATTTGCCGCAAGTAGGAGTCACTGATTTATTGCTCTGAAAGCACAGCACAAGGCCCTGGCATGCCGTGACCCTGATAAGCAAATAACTTATTCTCTATGCACCTAGCATGTGCCCTGTATTAAAACATCATCTCTCACGTCTGTGTTGGCTCTCTCTCTCTCTCTCAAGCCTGACTCCGGCTGCAGTCCCCAGCTACTGGTCGGCTATGAGGATGGGACGATCGCCCTGTGGGATCTCTCGCAGAGGAAGCAGCTGAGCCACCTGGCTGCCTACTCCCAGCCAGTCATGTGCCTTGACTTTGACCAGGGGAAGTTAAGAGGTGTCTCGGGCTCTTCAGAGACCGTCATCAAATCCTGGTCGCTTGATGGACAGCAAAGACTCCAGGTCAGGCCGGGTGACCCCTTGGAATGCCACTTCGCCAGCTGTGCTCTGCCGCTCTGATATGCTGGAAAAATATTTAGTCACGAAGAGGAGTTTCTGCAGAGTCCAAGCTAATTAATCACACGCTGGTTACAATGCAGGCAGCTCAGACTGAGCTGTCGGTTGTGTCCGTCGTGTCACTCCGGGGAAGTTCAGAGGTTTGAACAACTCATACCCTCACTGGTCCTCGGAGTTTCACATAGGGTTGGGCTAAGTAAATGTGCTGGCCGATGTTAGATTTGTCTAGTATCCCAAACTATAATTAGTATCATAAAACACATTGTATCGGAAATTCCTTGCTTAGAATCTGTACTAAATATTGGAAGCTAAACTCTGCTCTTAACATTGCTTTAGTGTTATTTCCACTAAGAACATTTTTCCATTTTGATTCAAAGCAGAATGCAATCTGCATTAGAGTTTTTCATTTTTTTTCCACGAACAGCTTTAAAAGATATCTGATTTAGTTTTCAAATGTGATCCCATAAAGCCGGAGTGCCAATTTTCTGAAACACCCAGCTTAGTCTTAGTTTATTGAGTGCTTATAAAACAAATCTACAACTCCTAAAAAAATATTTGAAAAGAGCAACCAACAGGGGCTTTTAAATTAAACTAGGGTGCACTGCAGTGTGAAGGCCAGACAGCCAGCTCAATTTTTCTTACAAAAGTATTTTTGTGCACAGCCATAGCTCGGCAAGTACAGTTGTTGTCTCCGTTGATGAATGACTCAGGAGAGGTAATAAAAACAGCAAAACCTTAGAGACTGTTAACAAAGCAAAAACCACATCTGCAGCGAAGAGAACAGTAGTGCACAGTGGGAAGGAGTAATAAAGAATGAAAAAAACTACCGTCTACGACTACCTAAGTGCCTTCAGGTCCGCTTTACAGATCTTTCATTTACCACGGCATATTGAGAACATCAGGGAAGTTTCCCCTTGAATTTGAGGTAGGTCGGAAATGAATCTGCCAAAACAAAGTTAGATTTTCAGCTTGCGGACTGGCATAAATGTAATGTACTCTAAAATATGGCTACTGACGTGCTGTTTCAAGGGCAGATGAGGAATACCACAGTCTGGGCATGGTGTGGAATTCATGGCACATGTTCATTGTCCCTTGTCTGCAAGCTGGGCTGTAGAACAGCCACCCCAATGTGTGTGTTGATTAAGTTTGGGTCCTCTTGGTCGAGAGCCGGAGAGATCTGCACTGTGATCTGACAGATTCTCTGCTCTCTAGCCCTTTCTAAAAGGAAAAAAAAAAGATTAGCAGTGTAAATCAGGCATGGATGCCTCTGAGCAATGTTTGAAAGATGATGACAGCTTTCACAGGTGTAACACAACATTACTAGAGACCCTGAGAAATCAGAAGTATTTCGACTTGCAGAATGCAAACTATCCAAAAGTTAACCCCCCCTCCACCTGCATAGCAGGCTCTCTAAGGCTGACACATGACTTCAGCCAGACCTGGTGAAAATCAACATTGCCAAATTAAAATGTCGGGGCGTGGGAGAGAAAGAATGATCCCCTGATAGGTGTGATTTTGTATGAGCATTTCAAGCGGATTGTCTCTTTCTTTCTTCCCATAGAAGCAGTGAAATTGGGATTCGTGCGAAAGTGTCGCAAATCCAGAAAAAAGCTGCAGAAGCTCCTTCTGGTTGAGTCACTGTAGTTCCTGATGGTTTGCGTAGGGTTTAGTGATTGGTGAGGGTTTAGATAGCATGAGGTGTAGAGTCAAAACCTGGAGCTCCGTCTGCTCTCATTAGGTTGAGTGTTTTCTGTGAATGTTTTTGACTTTGACAAGAAAACTACCATGTGTACTTTTATTGGACTTTATTAGGCACAACCCAAGGGAATTTCAGGGAGCAGTGGAGGCTGTTTTTGCATTATTGTCAAGGATAAAGATGTTGCATTTTTTGGAACAAAAATGAATATTCATCCACAAAAAAGATGGATTAGCATTGATCATCATAGTGTCTGGGAGATTGTGATAGAAAACAATGTGTGCAATAATTAAAATAATCATATTTAAAAATGATTGCATATTTGAATATTAGTATAACACTAACCTAATGCAGGGAGAGTGAATTTAGCTGCCTTCTCAAGGATTGGATTGGACGTTTTGTATTGTTTTAACAATCGTAGAAGGAGGGGACAGTGTTAATGGAACAGCGCTGTTTGTTTTAGGATTGAAGGCATTCTCAGACTCTCATCGCTTACCCCTCGCCAGCAGCAGAGCTGTTGCTCACAGAGAGCGAGGTTAAGCACTGACAGTTCCTTTATAAACAGCCACTAACATTTTTCACTTAATTCTCGGGACTGACCTGCTAATAAAATAAATAAATGTGTTCCCCGGCACAAACTAGGGAAACAAAAAAACAAGCTCCAAAATAAATGAAGACATTCAAACTATTGTTATTCAGGCCATAATGGAAACCAGATGGCTTTATTCTGTGGTGCATTCCGGGTACTTGAGGTAATTGCACAGTTGAAGTGGTCAGTTTATAATTTGGCCTTTTTCGCCCAGGTCCTGCGGTTTTGTGTGCACCACATTAGTGAAAGTGTTGGGCAGGTGAGCTGTACACCAGTCCCTCACACCTACACTTGCTCAACATTGCCCTGCCCACAGCTCCAGAGCTGCAAAGCAATCGGCTGCTTTCAGTCATCTGGCTGGAACAATAGGACTCATTTCATTCAATTGTCTGCATTCCTGCTTAGATATTGAATGCACTCCAGCTGCAGCATTTCACATTTAGAGCACAAGAGCTGTGTTTTCAGGTTGGGCGACCTGATGTGTTTTTGTGTGTCCCTTCTCTTTTACTGAGAATCTGCGGTGTGTGATCGCAAAAGCATCCCCCACCCCCACCCCGATATTAATTTAAAACGCTGAAGGTATCAGATTTTCTTTACAGGAATGATAATAAATGGGGGAGAAATACTTTACAGCTTTCCCTGCTAAAGGGCTATTTTTCATTTGAAGACAGATCCTATGGAGTTAATTTTATGGTTCGGTCTTGAAACAGTGGCCATCCACATGCTTTGTTTCAGCATGTGAAGGAAAGGACCAAAAAAAACACAGAGGTGCTGGAGCCTCTATTTTGTATCCTTCGGTTCCTTTTTTGAGAAATTGATAGAGGCAGGTAGGTCACACATGTGACCTTACTGCCGATTTTTCACAATAAAGCATGTCTTTGCATCCACATTTACAGATGAGGAACCCTTCCAGGGAAATCTTGAATCCGCAAAAGCTTAAGGAGCGGTAATTTTGTAGCAGACAAGTTTTTTTGCCTCTGTGTATTTATTCGTCTCTTCTTGTGCTGACCGGATCTTTCAGCGCAAGAAGTAATTCATCAGGATTGCTTAAGGAAACAAAAGTTTCATTTTCTTCTGTAACACAGGTAACTGGTATCTTTTGAACGCACACCCTTTAAAACGTGCTGTAGTTTATTCACATTTATTGACAGAGTCCAGTATTTTAATGGTTTCTACCTGGTGATTGAGTGTTTAATGGTGTACATCAGGTATTTATGCTGGCTTCCACTGTAATATGGCTCTTCTGAATTGCTCCTTTTTCGAACTGCTAACTGTTTGACATGTAGCCCTGGTGCAGTCCTGTGGAAGAGAATTATACCAAATCTGGATTCTCAACATAAACATTAACCCTGAGTAGTATTTTAGTCCTGTTGTACTCTAAAACCAATTACTTTTCCAAAGTGCTATTTCTTTTCCTAACAGCTCCAGTTGTTAATCATATGACAGCACTGCCAAGCTTCTGTTCACCTTTGCTTTAAACGGCCTAACTGACCAGCTCAGTCGGACCAGATCATCACAAAGCCTTTGCAACTTTGCAAAGGTCTTTTGCTTTGGATAAATGTAAAGAAAATCTGGTGTATTCTGGCCTGCAGAGCTGGACACTGGAGCTGGCCTCTGTCATTGGGACAGCTAAATTGTAGGTGTAACAATAAAACTAACCCTTATCCTTTAAAGTTAAATGTTTTCCCATTCTACCGATGATATAACGAAGCAAATAGCTACAAGTGTTTACATCTAGAAAACTTTTAGGAATGCAGTGTGTTAAATCGTTTTTTGTTTGTGTCTGTGTATGTGGCTGCATTGATTTCAGTGTTTTAGTTTAACGGCATAAATTTAAGGAAAACTTGTATATTTACTTCCCGCTTTGCAAATGTTAAAAAAATCCAGAATGCTTTCCCTATCACAAAATGCTGAACTGTGCCTTGTCACACTGTCACTCCTGCATGTAGTCTGTTGCTCCACACTGATGGTTTTTGTGCTTGTGGTTCCTCAGCTGCAAGACTCGGTAGAGGTGGTCAATCCTGGGATATCCCAGCTCTGTATCCGGGAGGACCGGAAGATCTTGGCTTCAGCGGGGTGGGATCACCGCATCCGGGTGTTCGGGTGGAAAAAGCTCAAACCGCTTGCTGTTCTTCAGTATCACATGGACAGCGTGCACTGTGTCTCCTTCTCAGACCACCGGGAGCCCAGCCAGAGGCTGATGGCCGCTGGGTCAAAAGACCGGCGCATCAGTGTTTGGTCTATATACACCTCGAATTAACACTGACTGAGAGCTGTGCAGCAGAGCACCCCGGTCTCTGCAAGTGGACTGGACAGGCGGACTGGGACAGGAGCCAGTGTGGCATTGTTGGACTGGGATGTGGGATTCTGAAACACCGTTGTGTCGCAAGTTGGCAAAACGCTCATGGACCACTTTTCCAACATCTGTATCTTTGTTTCTCACTGTGCTCAGATAAATGAACCAGTCGATAAATGCTCCACAGCGCTCTCATCCTGTTATTGATTTCACTTTATGTGGTGGGCCTTCTGTGGCCCCTGTATTGAAGTACATTTTGCCTTCTGCATAAGACAGTTGACTAAGCAATTATATATAAAAGACAGGTTTTGTAGGCAGTGTATTTTCTACCTTCTTACAGTTCATGAACATTTAACCTGCACTTTATACATTTGTTTATCTAACGCTTTTATTCAGAGCAACTTACATTTATACAGCTGTGGCTGTATTATTTTACTGGAACAATCCGAGTGAAGTGGCTCACCTGGATGTGAGCCACAGTCTTCCAGTTTAAAATTAGAGGCAGTGGACATGGTGACTTAATGCAGTATTTTAAGCCTAGTGAACAGAGAAATCTGCCGAAATCCCGTCTGTCTGCTTATGTATTGGTCCATGATTGAACACGAAGTTGGAAGGTTAATGTCTCTGTACAAGCTCTGTATGCAAATAAAATAGGACATCTAAACAAAAGCTTATTATACATAAATAAGAGTAAAGGTCATGTTTAATTTCTGGTAACAATTCATTGAAAGGGCTGACGCACAGTTCAAGATGTTTTAATCCATTATACTGCCAAATAAAAAGAATTATTTATTTTGTTTGCTTTCTCTTGATGGAGATGTGCTTCAGTTGAGTTGAATTTAAACTATAAGTCGCAATGGATGACTGTCTGATTTGTTTTTTTTTCTATTCAACATTGGCCTCTCCCCTGACCCAGACCACACTCATCAAACAAGCACTGCTCATATAGGCACCGACAGCGAGGACAAGAAGTTTCTTTACAAGATCGATTAGAACCGTCGGCTCTGTTTCCATCGGAAGAAAAAAACGGCAGAGGAGAACAGTGGTCCACACCCACCAGAGCTCCATGCCTTTTTCAAACAGTGGACCATGAATTCTGAAGTTCAGGTAGGAGAATCAAGCAAAGTGCTTTTTGCCTGTAGCATAAAAGAATACTTAACTGCATGTATGCAGGGCATTTTGTCCCAAAGAATGCCAAACCACTTGACATATAGGAGGAATTCCACCACACCAGCAGAGAAGGTGGAGAAGAAAGAATTTATTTCTCAAACTGAGTCAAAGCAGAAATTTAGGAAGACCATTTTGTGGTAAGGAAAAGTACAATTTGGCTGGGGAACAGCCCTATACTTACAAGCAATATTTTGGTATCTTTAATGGACATGTACTCAGGTCTTTCTGTCTCATCTGAAGTACCTCCTATAGTGCAGTGTTCTCATACTGGGCCATCAGTAAATTTCTGTTCCAGAGGAATTGGCACCACCTACTGGTCCACTAACACCACTTGCAGCAGCAGCCCTACGCATGCTGGCCATAAATAGATTATAGTTTCTTCAGCCAACCTGATGTTTAAAGCTTTGCACGGTGCCAAACGTTATGGCGCAGTGTACTGCTGTTCTTTCAGAAAGAAATATTCTTTCCAGATCCTTTTTACTCCTTTACATTTCTGAATTTTGGAATGGATGATTTTTTTTGGCCCACTCCCAAGGGTGTAACGTCTAGTTCACGGTCAACAAGGGTTTATCATACAGCCCCCCCAAACCAGCTAAAAGTGAGCTTCGTTCAGAGTCATCTCCCTGCCACACACTGGACTGATCTTCCAGCAAGCTGAGCACAGAGTGGACGTTTCATGCCACGCACTCATCACAGTGTTAAATGAAGCATTATCTTCACCATCTCTGCATGTGTGTGATCTTCCCATGACGTGCTGTTTTGCTTCATAATAAATTGCTTCTAGACTAAAGGCTCGATTGCATAGTTTTATGTTTTTCCTCCACTACAAAAATATAGGTCATTTTGGGTTTTATTCAGTTAATGCTAACTTAGTCCCAGCAAATGACCCAGTCTGGGTCCTGGCTACTTAGTCATTGAAGATCCTATGACATTTTCAAACCTGTAAATGGGATAACTCCACTGTTGCAGTTAAGTTCCACTCAGGGCATGTACAATCTGTCTTCCCTTCTCTTACTGCCTGAATGCTACAGAGTCTTGATTTATCGTCTGTTTGCATTTCTCGCATTGATCGGTTCGTGTTTTTGAAGCAGCGACCTAAAAGGACTGCAGGTGTACAGGTGTATGGTCATTCAATACAATAAGCATTTGCCATGATAAAGAGCTAACAAGCTCCACAGATGTCGTATCATGGGTGCTTGGCGTGGTGCCTTATAAATTATATATACACAGAGACACAACAAACAGCTGTTGGTTCCGGTACTCATTTGTGTTTTTAATGCATTTTAGCATATAATTGGAAGGCATTTGTCGGTTTTTGTTTTAAAAAGCCTTTCAAATTACAGGGTACACAATGCTCTGCTTTATCCACCAACAGGACCTGCCAGCGGTTTTGATCTTGTGTGGTAATTATCGGTGCCACAGATATGTAGCTACAGAATACAGCGCCTTAAACTCAAGAAATACGTCTTATTGCCTCGCACCTCAGAGGTGTAATCCATGTTTACCTACAGATGTGCTCAAAGGGTGGGCTCTCGCCCGTTTTCAGGTCCAAAACCGCAGCGACGTTGTTTCCCGCTACACGGCTTTCTCTTTATACTCAGGTGGATTGTGTCTGTTTTTTAAAAAATGAGAGACGGAATCTGTCATCGGGGGATGAGGTGTTAAAATGGAGAATGTGTTTGTCTCACAAAGGAGCTGTGTTCAAGGCGATGACATTTGAGTGGTCGGAATGCACCTTTAATTGCACAATTAGAATCAGTGGATTAGGCAGCAGAAGGAGAAACAGCAGAAGGAGCTGTGTTAACTTTGCAGTGTGGGGAGAACAGTAAGTGGTCAAAACTGTAAGGTGTTGCAGCATTCATGGAACGCTCAGGCTGGGCTGAAGGTACCATTTTCCTAAAACATTTCGGTCTCAGTGTTCAGTCCTACCTAGCTGGGTGATTTCTGTCTACAATGAGCTGTCTGCTTCTGGCTCACCCCACTTGAGTGCCTCTTCATTTTATTTTTATTTTATTATTATTATTTCTGGATGCAATACTGCTGTTTTGCATCAGCCTTAATACTCTGCCAGAGTTTTGGCAGGAAAAGCCACATTCCTTTTCCGAGACCGCCTATGCAGGTACTTTCACGTCAGTTATCTCGTCTCCCCTGCAGAAGTACTGTACCTGTTAACCCCTTTCATTCTCCCTGCCTCTGTGCTGGGACCTGTCCATTTAAAACTGGCGTTTGCAGATCTGTGGAAGCTGTGCTAGAGTCCATCGCGAGCTGTGTGTGTACGAGCTAGCTATCCACAGAACTGCTTGCTGAATGGGATGGCTTATTTTGCAGTGTTTGCCGTCCAGTTTGATGCATCACGGTGCCAGTTCGAAACAGGCACAGTGCAGTACAGCATGATACAGGCAGTGAGAAGGCATGGGAAGTCAGGGGACGTTAAGCATGGTAGATGTGTGAGAAAGCTCTATAAACACTTGTTAAAACACAGTACCTTTAAAAAAAATGTATATTTCCTTCCAAGATAATTGTATTACCTCCTTCCTTATAGAATTTCGCCATAAATTTCATTCTAGTTCAGAATTAATATTGAGACGCAATTAAAACGATTGACCTGCGGAGGAAGTTAGGAACCTGTATTAAGCTGCTCAGAGTGGCGGCATTGCTAAGCAGAATTCTTGGAATCTTGTAGAGCCCGGGATGTGGCAGGGTATGGTTAAGATCCCTTCATAATGCAAATCGGAAAAAATGCAGGTTTTCCATATGGTCTGTAGGTGAAGTGTGTAGTCTCCATGAATCTATCTGAAAAAACAAACCCGCTTTTAACTATTCCCTTGTGACTTTCACAGCCACTGATTTCAAAGTGTAAATTTATTACTTGAAAAGTATTATAGCTATGTTTTTGTTGAATACTGTTGCTACTGCACTAATAAGTGATTGCAGCTGCAAACAGCAATGGGATTATATTCTTCTGTATTTTACAGAAATGCAGACATAACTTCAAACACCGCTGAGACGTTCTGCCTCATAAAATATCTGTCTCCGGGGATAATCTGGCTTTAAGTATCTCGTTGTATTCTCCAGGAAGGAGGACTAATCAAAGGCTCGGTCTGTACTTGTGCAGAATAATGGAAATGCACAGCATCAGAGACAAGAGAAAAAGTTAATTTCATAACCTTGTACTACAACCCCAGACACCCCCACGTTTGTCCATGATCTGTGTTATGACCTTGAGAATACATAATAGCTTCCTACTTCTGCACACTTTGAACAGATAACAAAAGCCGCGGGGGGGAGTTTCCGTCTATTCTCTGATAAATCAAAAGTGCCTCCATTGCTGCAGATGTTTGCTGAATAGACCTGAGACCTGGAGCAGGGAGGAAACCTCATAAATCACTTAATAATAGATAATGTGGGAAGTCAATAAAAGGAAAGGCCCATCTGAAACAGCAAGCAGACGCTTCTCCTCGTGGCCCAGTGTGAGCTGCTGTGGGCCGGCTCTGTGTTGCTGCCTTTGCTGACTTAGAGGAAACCTGCCCTGTCATGCTGTGTTCTGCGACGGGTTGATTCAGCAGGGTCCAGTCACAACTCTCTCACTTCATGAGAAGCGGATCCATTGGGAAACAGCCTTGAGTAGCCAGTGACCCGTAGAAAAAAAACTGAAACGTTAGGAGGTAGGAAATATGATGTAAAGGTGACATTAAAAAAATAAAGGTACAAATTCTCTTCAAATTCAAACTTAGTACAGACCAGCAATAAAGGCTGTGTGGAAAACGGTACTAAGCAGCTGATCCAGTATACACTGGTCTGCACCCTTGGGTGATTTTGGGAAATTGGTTTGAGTTTCTGCTCCTTCATTAAGCCCCATTCAGCTGTGTAAAGAATTTGTATTGAACTTGTTTTGATTCCATTTTTGAAGAATGAAGTATTCCTCTCTGTGATTCAGATGCATCCTGTTGATAGTTCTGTTGTTAACCTGCTAGAATAGTCCAGCTTTGTGTTCTGCTGTTGCGGCAGCCAGGAGTTCATACAGAAGGGTGACAGAGCCAAGTACAGTCGTGCTCATAACTGGCAGTGCCTTTTAGAATCCCTTTCTGTTTCATACCTGGAGCTTTAAAATAGTCGGACGAGCTCAGACGTTTTCAAATGTGTCATTTTCCTGAACTCAGAACGTAGGCATATCCATTTTCGATTGTCTGCCTTGCCTGTTCTGTACCAAAGTCTCTAAAAATGAGGGCGTCCTAAATGCCTCAGATGTTGAAGGCACTTGCCTGAGTACAGGTTGAACGCTGTGATCAAAACATTCAGACCTGAGATCGAGACTCTAGCCATGACTAGGATTCCCCGTCGGCAATGCGTAATTGTCTGGGCGCCACCACTGCTAGGCCAGGACTCCCTTAGCTCTCTGTGACACAGTGACCCCTCTGGCCACAGGGGGACTTGCAGGCATGAAGCGCTGCCAGTGGGAGACAAGCTTCTCCTCCAATCAGAACCTCCGATATAGGAGTGCTGCCACAAGATCCCACAAGATGATTGGCTCACAGGTAGGTGGGTCAGAGGAGTCCGTCTACACTCTTTCTCTCCCTGTGTGCAGCTGCAGTGTTTGTGACTGCAAGCCAAGATGTGAAAAATACAACCACAACACGGGTTTTTCCAGACGTGGTGGGGTAAACAAAATTTGAAGCTTCAGAATTTTAAGCACTGAACACCTTACAGTGTTACAGTGAATGTGCTCAAAAGTAAACTGAACTGAACGCTTGCAGTAGATCTGTCGCCACAAATGTGCTGTGAAGTGTCAAGTGGTCTCTCCAGCAGCAGTGTTGTGATCCTCATGTTTCTTTTCTTAAAATCAGCACTTGGATTTCTCAGTACGTGATATTAAAATATACACATGCATCCACGGTGATGTGCCTAATGTACATTATCTGTATTCAACATTGTTATTGCGTATAATGTGTAATGTGTATCCCTGCTCTGTCAGAGCCCATCCTCTGTGTTGTAGAGGGAGTACCTGGATGGTGCCGTCCTTGAACCTACTTCTTCCCAACTGAATGACAGTGCAAAATGGCTTTAGCTCCTCAGATCCATATTAATTACAAACACGAGTCTGAAATAATATTTCTGCACTGAAATCATTTTTTGAAATGTAATCATTATATGTTGCTCGTCTATTAAGTGTGTGTGCCATTTCTTATTACAGTAGATTATAAGGCTTTATTCAATTTCTGTGTCTAATTGAGTTACCTGTGCACTTCAGCGGCTTTTTTTGCACAGACGGTAATCATACATTTTTTGTAATTATGTAATGATAAGCCTTTGCTTTACCAGATAAGTCTGTTGAGAATAGATTTTCACTTCCAACAACGGACTGACTGAGAGTTATATAGAAGACAAATGCATAAAACATGAAAGAAATTAAAAACACCGAATACGACAGTAAAGTGTTGGTCAAGTGCAGGTGTGAACCAGAAATGATGTGATCACGCAATAGAAAACATGACCTGATACAGAGGTGGATACTGAAAGCCACTCTAGATAAAGGAGTTGGTTGAGCTATAATTGTTTCCTATAAATACAGTATTATCACAAAATGTCTGGATTAAAATTGGTCTGAAAATCTCGGGCACATGAAGTTGGCACATGGGAGGAGGTTATTCACCACGTCTTATTCATTCGGTATGCCACTGCCCACCGCATTATCACAGAATGAATACGGAAAACAGTCTGGCCTTTCAGGTCATTTTATTTCATGTGATTGTGCCTAGATTGCAGTCATGTGTCTTGTTTCCCTTCGTATCAGCACTTAATGTCAAGCTTTGTAAACACTGTAGGTTGCTCTAGATAAGGGTGTCTGCAAAGCAAATAATCATTAAGTGGGCAAAAAAAATCATTAAGTACGAAAGTCGGATCTCAAATAAATAGTATTTTTTTTTTTGCCGGAGGCCGATTAAAAATTGGACTTCTTTGAGATTGCTGGCCAGGCGCTGTTAGGCTCTGCTGATTTGTCATGTGCAGCTTTCTGACAGCACTCCCCATTTCTTTCAACAATCTAAAACTGTAGGTCCTCATTTTGTATGTTACTGTTTTGTTTTTCCGCAGTCAGCACAGCATTTCTGACATTCCTAAAACGTGGAGAAACTAATGATTTTGACTGAGTAATAACAGGTCAGGAATCACGAACCCTCCTCCGTGAGCATTCCTTGGGCTTGTACCCTACCTGGTTTCAGTATATTGGTGAGTGTATCTTTTCAAAACGCCGGATCCCAGGTGTATGCCGTTTGGGATTTTGTAAGTCATCTTGGAAGAGACCATTAGACTTTGAATGTCTTTTTCTTCAATGTGCTTTAAAATCTTCTTTAAATTATAAGCTACACGTTTCTGTGTAAAGGCCTTCATAAACAGTGCTCTACTGCTGTTTGTATATTACTTTTCCTGGATTTGAATGCGCCTTAGTTGTTAAAATGCAAAAAAGCGAAGCATAAAAGTCGAAGTTCATGCACATTAGTATGTACTGTATTAATAATCTGTATGTCAGCGTTGCATGTGTTCTACACTGTCTCCCCTATAGTGGGCGCTTTTCCTGTGCTTTTATTTGTAAGAACAGATTGTTTTGTTAAAAACAATACTCCTCCGTATAAAAAAAAAAGTTAATGTTTGGAAATGACAGCATCTCCCCGCAGCAGGTAAACTGTTACGATCTTTTAATTTCGGCTCCATCTGTTTTATGAGAATGCAACTCAGAATGCAAATATGATTTACGCAGCTCCTTTTTTTTGTGAGAAACTACAATACATAATCATACCTAAAGCATAAGAATAAAAGTAAGGGCTTGGCAAAAATCAAATAAAATAAACACGCAAAATATCTGTAGGTAATTCGTTAGTATTATATTACTTATATAAATAAATACTGTTATTTATTTAAGGTTATTTCACACCCAACTCGGTGTAATGAACGCGTTGGTCCAGATGGAGGTTTTTTTTCTCTATGTGTAACCCATGTCTGTCATCCAGTCGCTCCCTTGATAGGTGAAAACCTGTTATTGTTTCTGGGACAATCTTCTCACGCACAGGGCTATCCGTGAATACATTTGTGGTACTTCGGTTACATCCATCCCTAAAAATAATCCGCTGTATTACAGACTCTTCCTTTTTGTTGTCCGAAAACCCACAATCACTCGTCGAATTAAGGATGGCCGTGGACCCTGCGTCCTCACCTGCTGCCCCCCGCTCGCAGGCAGTGATGAGCCGCGGCACAGGTTGGGCGACCGCTGGCTCCGACATCAAGGCGAAGCGCGGCGCGGATAAACACAGCTGGCTCGGGGCAGCGGAAGAGCCGCGGGTCTCTCAATGTCTTAGTCTTCCTGGCCGCCGGGCGCTCATTCCGTCCAGCCTGGTGTGGGCTCACGCAAAGGGAGCAGAATCCTCCAGACTCGCTTTTCCTGCCTGGGCAACACAGGAACCCCGAACGATCCCGATGCGGGAGATTATCGTTATCACAACCCCCCCACCATTAAAGAGGAAATGTTTTCACTGACGACAGAAAAAAAGAAAAAAGACCTTCTGATTCATCCTCAAGTATTTATCATTAACTGTCTGGTCTGGACTGCTGGGGTTTGTGTGCGTGCAAAACATTTTTATTTTTGTTACAGCACGTCCCCGAGATACTAAATCGGTTAGTTTGGGCATATGTCAACTTAAAAAAAACCCAACTAAAATATTTTAAGACGATATGAACCCAGGAGAACGGCAGTTAATCGAAATTACGTTTCATTTATCCCGCTGGGGCTTTTCAATAGGCTGAATAGATACAGAATATCATATTCCAAAATGTACAGTCCAAGTATTTTGCGTTCAAATGATCGTGAAATGGTCTGATCAGAATTCTGTTGTGGGTTTGACTAATTTTGATTCCCTTACTGGACAGGGTGAGCCAATTATAAAACAATTTTCATGTACACGGCTGACCCTGGAGACCGGATTGTACAGCTGAGTGAATATCTTGTGGGACTTATAGGGTTTGAATCCACAGGCTTCTCGGGTCCTTCCAGTCCTGAAGAGTAACCAAGAATACTGCCCAAGTCTCGCCAGGAGTCTCTGTGTTTGACTTTTTTTTTTGTTTGTTAAGCAAACAAAATACAACCCTTTAACAACAATAACAATGCCATTATGTTTGTTTAGAAATATACTATACAAACTCACATCAACAATTTAAGAAGGGACAGGAACAGCAATGTAAAAAAATCTTATCTATTTTGAAATTACGAACGTTATTATTAACAATTTGTGTAGCTCAGAGAGCCAACTATCCAACTATAAATGGATGTGAATTGAACCAAAACACGGGGCCAAGGTTTGGTTTCGTTGGAAACCCGAGTCATTTTTTCCTCTAGCCTACATTCTTTAATGGAAACGTTATTTTTAGTCCCATTAATAGTACCGTTTGCAAGGTTTTAGTTAGGATATGCTCAGCTGACGCAATGGCTGTATGCGTTACAAGATAATGTCTAATAATGTCTAATAGCCGCAGTCGGTCTAAAAGTTTTCTCTTAGTTTGTAATAATCTTGTATTATTGTTATTATTTTATTATTATTAAAATGTTTTTTGTATTTGAAAGGTCCGTTTTTTTATTTTTAAAAAAATCTGGGCCACGACTATTTTAAGGGAAATAACACATTCAAAAATATTACTCAAAAATCTTTTTTACATGACAACAACCTAATAAAAGAGAATTGTTGCGGATTTATAAGTTCTTTTTGGTGTAAGAGCATATCGCCAGTTTTTAAAACATATCTCCCTTTCTAGAATGGGATTTTATTTAATAAAAACTAAGAACTAATTTATCATCATACAGTAACTGATGCAGCGCAGAAACATACCATCATTTTTAAATGCACTAGCACGTATATTAATTGACATTTTTAAGAAATACAGTTTTTGTCGCGTATGCTGGTTAGTTTGTTGAATTTATCATCTAACACGTTTTACATGTAGTAATTTTGAGTTACCCACACTGAAGGTCTCTAAACAGAAACGTGTAACAAAGTCTGTACTCTCTAAAAACGTGTGGCGTTCAGGGTACTGCGCATGTCAAGGTGTTTTGCTCCCAATACAGAAATTATGTGATCAATTAGGTGTCACCTTAACTGCGGGAAACATTGTTTAACCTTTAACCTTTCAGAAAGTCATTACCAGCCAGAGGTCGAACCCAGCTTCTGTCCCTTCCCCTGCAGGATTCCGACACCAGCTGCTCCCGAACAGTAAGAAAAAAAATACAGTGGATTTCCGATCCGAAATATGATTGATCATCGTAAGGGTGATTTGTGAGTGCATATATATATATAGTGTCTTTGACAGGACGGCATTCCAGTCTTCTACACGGAATGACGACATTGTGCAAGTTCAAGGGAAAGTCGGCTCTGCTTTGTGAATGAATGCGGAGAATCTTTTCTCTAGGAGGAAGAGAACTTAAAACTAGAGGGACCTGTTGGTTTAGCTTTCCCAGTACGTCTCAGTCTGAACTGCACATAACATCAGTCTCATAATGTAAGCACTGTGAGTAATTTCACGCTTTACACATCTCTACATTAAATCTGAATTTCTTTAAATCCTCTGATGAGAAGTGTTTCTCTCTGGGAAAAAGAATGCAGTTTTTATGTGTGTTGTGCGAGCAGGACTTAGGGATTTTTAGCAGAGATGTGGTTTTAGGGAGGTGAAAAGGGATTATTGAAGTTTAAAACGTATTTACCTAACTGGGCTCGCTGTCGTGGACTTAGCCGATGTATAAAGCATAAGACTGTAAAGGAGTTTAATGTTTGTCTTTACAACCTTCATAGCAAAAGACATAAATCTAAATTAATCACAGAAGACAGTAATGTTTTCAAAACATTTATAAAAGTCATGTTCAAACAAATTCATTTTATGTAAACAGTAATAAGAACTATCTACACAAATATATCTACACATATCTACAATTATCTACATGTTTGCAGATATCCATAAAATATGGTTTTGATTTTTTTAAATCACTCTGCCTCATAGGAAAACATTGACCAATAAATATACAGACTTCATTTCCAAGAACGACACCAATGCTTTGGCACTGTTTATATTAATGTATATTCTGTGTGTATACTGTGAGAATAGAATATGGTCTGGTATATATTTAGCATGATACTGTACACTGTAAAAAGGAATTTAATTTTCCATTTTCCAGTGAGATCACATGACAATGCACACAAGCACGCGCACACACACACACATATATATATTCCATGTGTGCATTGTCATATATATATATTATGCAAGTCCACTTGTCTTTGCTCTCATTACTCTGTTCATGGACAACAAAGATTTGCCAAATGTTGTGGTCACTCGGAATATTCTGGATGCAATGCAAAAACACCGCAATGTGTGGTCCTTGGCGTTCAAACTAAGCTGTGAAAAAAAACACTGAATCTCATGTGTCTTGACATAGGCTTTGGATTGGATACAATTCCTTTTCCTCACATTATTTTCCATGTAATACTTTTTTAACCCCTATAAGAAGAGGTTAAATCTATTGTTAAACGGTTTAACAATGTCTCCAATGGGACCTTGTGTTTCCGTGCTTTCTGGACAGTCTAAGGGCTTTGTTTAAAAGAGAACAGCGATAACGATTTTTATGGGTTTACAGTAAAAAAATTTTTAGCATCTTCGTGTCACAGAGCACAAATCTCCCGTCTGCCTTTTCAAAGAGACGCTGCTGATCCGTGCTACGCGAGGAGGTTCCCTGGGTGCTGCCTGTGTTATTCTGAACTGTCAAAATAAAACCCCGTCGTTTTTTCTCGCCAACACCAACAGTGAAGACAACCGCGTTATCTTCAAAGAGCTGAACTCGCGGATCTCTCCTCGGCCTAAAAGGCTTGATGGGCTCAAGAGTATAACATATGGCTTGTTTTTAAAGCGAAAAAAAGTGCATCAATTCCAGTCTGTGGCTATCTATCATCCTTTTTATTAGACTCCTCTTGTTCTCTGCTTTACCTCACTTACTGTCTGCACCACACCCAGCAGTGCAGATGTGCTGCTGAAGAATGCTTGTGGGATATGGGTTCAAAAGGCCTTATGGGTAGCCCTCTGTGGGGCAGGGGTGGAGGGGGTTGTCACATGATCCGCTGGTGTCCTGTGCCGCCCTAGACGACACACGACACTATTTCTTAAACCACCTTTCCTTGAACAATTTCAGAGTTTTTTTTTTTTTCAGGTGATTCCATTCGCAAGAGGGTCACTCCCAGGTGTCGTAACACTGCCGTTTGCAGAAACCGTGCAGGCGATCGGCGCATTTCGCCGTTTCTCCCCAAGTTCCTGCCTGCCAGACCATCGTTGCCAGGGGGTTATCTGGGACCGTAGTCGTAGTTGGCAGGCGCGCTGGCAGCAGAGTACATGTTGGCGGTGGCTGGGTTCATGTGATGGTGGTAGCCGTGTCCCCTGATGCTGGGCAGTGGGTAAGGAGAAGGCCTGGTCTTGGCTCCCAGGTAGTGTTCGTAGGTGCTGGGGTACTTGTAGGGGTGGTGGTGGAGGGTGTCGGGGGCCTGCGGGTGCCCGTCGAGCCGCAGTTCGTGGGGGGGGCTGGGTCGGCCCGCGGTCAGGGGCACGGCGTGCAGCCCCCCCGGCACGGGCAGCGCCGGGCTCAGGACGCGGGACATGAGCTGGTGGGCCGGGTCAGCGTGGATGGGGGTGCCGCTGGGGTCCCGGTCGTACTCCCGTCTACCGTCTGCCTCTGAACCAAAACACGCACACAGGGGACTTGAGATCAGGCCGTTTGGAGAGAGGAAATCAGAATCGAGACTCGGGAGGATGGGTTTACTGCCTCTTTTATTCTCAAGCTGGTATGAAAAGGTGTACCTTGATAGTGGAAACTGCATACCTAACTCATCACAACTAAAGACCTGAAAACGTATAATGAATATAGACCAAATATGAATACATAATATGAAATTTGTAGTAAACACAATATATGTTATTATTTCAAAATACATATTGTAACGCAACGGGGGTTCAGGCGGGCGCCCTTGCCGCATTAGGTCGGCCCCCCACCGTCGGGGGCTCGAACCTGGGACTCCCGCGTTACTCAGCAGGGACCCAGCCCCGTGAGCTAAAGAGAGATCTCTCCACAGCCCACTAGCTGTAGTCCTGCTATCACAGAGAAGGGCGGCGACATCACCGCTCTGGTAAGCCGGCTCTTACAGTGCCTGTCGGCCGTAAGCGTTACATTATTTACGTTTTAAGTTTTATTTTCAGTTTTTAGTTTTATATTAGCTGTCCATTTAGGGACAACATCCGCATAAAATATTGAGGCCGAAGCGTTGAGTTCCTGGTTACCCATGCAGGTATTCTCACCACTGCGTACTGAAGGACAGCAAGAGTAAACGGACATATCTGATACACCGTCCCTAACACCGACCTGAATGAATTCATGACTAATTGAAAGAGTTCGCTTCACACCCGAGGGTTTTCGACGGAGCACCGACTACAATATCATTGCGTTTCAGACACTGGTGCTCTTAGAAAAACAACAACACTGTGGTATTTTATTTCGAGATTACTGGTCTATTTTTTTCCCCACGTTTCGGGGAAAGTCACAAGTGCAATCTTGTGTTGTCCGACCTCAGGGCTGAATCCCCGTGCGCAGGAAACGTGGCCGTTGCTACGCAATCACTTAGGCGAGCACACAAGAGCAGTGGCCCGTCTGGGCAAGTAGTTTTATCCCAAAGCTGTGAGAATTTGTATTATTTTAGACGAAGCTCCGCGGGAGCCACTCACCCTTCTCTGTTCCGTTCTGCTGAGGAGGAGACGACATGGGGTTTCTCGTCCTGGCGAAAGCGCTCATGATAGGGAGAGATCCCGGCCGGTGGTTTCTAGGCCTGGCGTAGGGAAACGAGAAAGAGAGGAACCTGAATTGCCAAACTAGGTATACGCCCAACCGAGAAACAAACACGCGAATTAAGTTCAACCTTAACGGTCTCCACAATAGTTAAGGAACTGTCTTTGTTTAAAGAAATCCTCCCGTCTTAAAGCAGAATACGGTTAGGCGCTTGAATGTGTACGTTATTTAAAGCGAAGGAGACTCTGTTTTCAGCCTGTGTTTTTCAATTCACTTAGTTTTCTGCGAGGTTAAGCATGATAATTGTTGCAATGTTACTTCACGCGTGTTTTTCACAATATTTCTCCTCGGGAAAATGGTTTGTTTTTTTCCGAATTAAGGTGTTGTGCACAACACAGAACACAGTCTACAGGCCAGAAAATAAGGATGTGTTTGTGTTTAATAATGTATGTTTAGAAAACAAAGAATGTTTCATTTCAAATATTGAAGTGGAATTATGTTGTTCTTAAAGTGGAGTTTCTGCTGTTCGTGTGAAATGAATGATTTCCGCGGGTCACGCACCAGTCCTCGGGGTCACAGTCTCTGAAGCCCTTCGCGAAGGGGTTACTGGCGATTTTCAGCTGCGTGATCTGGAAGGAAGCAGAGAGTCAATGTTAAGGGGAAAATAAGTATTTTATAATAACCTTAAATAATGCACAAAGCGAACTAAAGAAAGGAAGGAGCGACACGTATAACATTCGTTTAACAACATTTCCTTTCCTTTCGTTCACCTACTGCAGACCTAAGTCTAAGGCGCAAATTGTAAAATGTCCATCGGGACTGTTTTAATTTAAATTTGTCTTGCTTATCGTAAAACTACCTACAGTTGTACCACTGAATTCGTCTTATTTTCCCAACTTCCTTAAAAAACGTAAGCACACTTGCTATTTAACTTCTTAATTCTGTGTGATCGCATACATTCACTATAGGAAGCCTCTTTTACTAATCAGTATTTCCCTCTCTGGAAATAGAGATAAAAGATATGTACGTGATAGTACTATATATAAGACGTGGGTCTCTGTCCGTTTACAGTAATTGATGAGATACAGCGTTTTGTGCTTTTCTGCACATCCGAGGATAAAGTTATGTGGTCGTGAATTTCCGGAATGAGTTAAAAAACAAACTTTAAGCCCCTCAGTGACAGTTTGAGACCGAGGGGTCAGGGTGATAGAACGCAGCGGCAGAAAGGGCAGAAAGTGGAAGACTGAAGGCAGCTGTGCAGGGCCGTCAGCGAAATGCCAGCGCTCAGGGGGAAACCACGGTGTGCAGCAGTCGCTCCTCTGGGACCGGTTGAATTCGGCTTCATTTACTGAATTCAACCTTTCGGTGATCTTGCGAAATGCTCGCTCTTCGCTACAAGGCAGTATTGCTTCACTGGGTTGTGCACGGGGTCGGTTTTGTTGTAGTCATGAACCTCAATAGATAATTGCTTAGAACATTTATTTCTGTGAGGGAAAAATGGTGTAAAAGTACCGTTAAGTGAATTTTCCTGGAGTCTGCATCATTGACCGCCGATGTTTCTTATTATCGTTTTAATCAGAACCCGTAGACGTGTGTGGAACCTCGCCCTTTCTGTTTAAATTAACATTATTTTTATGTTTGAGGGGGAAACATTCATTTGTTTTTTATTTAAAAGTTTTAAATTTTGTTTCAATTTAATTCTCTGGAAGGTGACGAATCCTGTAACTTGTTTTCAAGGAGCCTGGTGAGATAATTGTCTCGCCCCTTTTTTTAGACACACCTTAATTGTGTAGTAACGTGTTTCATATTGGAAAACAATTGGTAAACATTTTGATCATTCTTTATTTTTGCTTAACGCTGGACTCTATTGATAACAGTAGTGTTCGCTAATAAACATAGTCGGCTCCCAGTTACTTTGTAGTTTAATTTTATGAAAGCTGCTCTGTGTGGCCGTATAAACAGTAGCAATCTGATTGCGTTGCAATCGGAGCAGCCTCAGTGCAGAGGAGCGGTTTAAGTTATTTCAGGTGCCCAGGTTGCTGTCTGGCGCCATCAATAGTGTTGATGTGAATGCTCACGCCGCTTTCGGAATAAATAAAAAGTCTTGGTTGTAAGTTAAGGCGTAGAGATCGATACAGAAAAAAATGTGTGGGGGCAGGCTCAAGGTATATTGCTGCGTGGTTTGATAGCAAAAAATAAGCCTTTAGCTCTACAAAGAAGTTCTGTTTTTTTCCAGTACAACCATATAGGATGTCTCAGCAGTAAAATTGATTTTTATTTAAAAAGGGAACAAAAGAATCTCCCTCCATAATGATTATGAGCCCCCGTAATTCAGTTTTATTCTTCCTATGTTAAAAACAACACCAGAAAAGCTTTTGTCCCGAAGACGATTGAAAGGAAATGTGAGTGGGAGAGTGCAGATCTACTGGTCAGAATTTAAAACAGGTATTTCCTCATCTTTTAATTGTTTCCGTTGAGCGATAGTGCGATCATGCCCTGCTGTTATTTGATGATTTTTAAAAGGATGGCTATTATGACGAGGAAGAATCCGAGAAATGACTTTGTCTGATTGTCTTTCCTATTTCATCTGAAGTCCGTGTGAAGCCTAGATTCCGTGCAAAAGCAAAATCCGGAAAATGACTCAGCGACAGAATGTAGCCGTAACAAAACCTGCCGCCCAGCCAGTTTAAACTTTCAAAAATATATTTCGTTCGTAAATTTGGCTTGTTCAAGTTAGAATTAACTTATTTAGCACTTAAACAAACGTGCAGTTGATTTCTGGTTTCTATCTTGTCTGTGAATAGAATATTTAAGAGTTTACATTTTAAGTCACTTGCCAAGACCTGACAAGTTATATAATTTCGTCGTACAAATGATTATCCAGCGTTTTTGACAGGTCTCCATACATCTAAAACTTTTTTTTTTATAATGTTGAGGTTCCTGCTGGTAACAGGCCCCGGTACGTACCCTGTGATTCTGATAAGCAGTGACGGCTGTAAACCGAGTTTCCTCGAATACAAATGTCTTGTAATTTTCTTCAGCATATTTTTCGCTGTCTTTCCTCGGATCCACGTAGACCACATGGAACCGTGGCTGATATCTGTGCATGGAGTTCAAGATGATCTAAAGCAGAAGGAAATAAAAAAAAA